TCAAAAAAGAATGATTCCTAAAATAGCCAGGCATGTACATYTCCACCTTCTCTTCAGGAAAGCAGTTCAAAAACATAGGTCCTTGTAACACTTAAAATTGCTAACCTGAACCTCTTGATAGCAGCAGGCGATATCTTCAGRAACAGCTGGGGTTTTATCTTAGCCTCTCACACCAAGCTACTACATACCATTAACCATGCTTATACAGGCACTGAACTGACAGAAGACATGGCATGAACCAAACAGAGCACAAATTCCATTTCACATCAGCAGAAGACTGAAACTGCACACCCAAAGCCAGCACATATTACAAAGTCTATAAAAACAGAGTACATCACTAGAGTTATTACTTTAACTATCACAAACAAGAAGTAAATATACCCTAGGTTTTGGGCAATAAAAGCTATTCCTAAGAACAAGCAAGCTGTTTGTTTAATTTATTTCCTACACTCTGTTCTTTGTTAATGATTTCATGGTGTTGATTCTGTGCATTGCATGGGTATCTCAAAAACTGGTCAATAATCAAAAGTAATTCAGAGCATCCAGCACTTTGCAGGATCAGGATTTTCTACACTGTTACTAAACACTGAATTGTCTGATAACCCTCCTTAGGACTACAAAAACAACTTGCTGCTTTCGTCCTTTTAGTAGGAGCCATCGCTCTGTGTGTTATTTGACTTATAAATATGGCCTTTTATTAAAGACACAGCTTCCACTGTGCTCAAAATTAATTCTACTTGGCTATAAAACAAATGATGTTTCAAACGTCTGAAATTCCCAGTCAGTTACAAGGCAAAATGATGGCTAATCTTTGGCTAGTAAATTGGTTGCCAGCGGCATAGGCCCTGCCAGCGCTGAAGCCAAAATCAAGGTCTGATTCACCACTTTTCCAGGCTACTCATCCGCTGGAACCAGCTCTGAGCTGGGTGTATTTCCCAACAGGAAAACTGCATGTGTCCTGTGCTTGGGAGGAGCATCAGTACTGCCTATGAAGATGGGCTCCAGCATGTAACAGCTCATCTCAGAGCTGTATGTACTCTCTYTCTTTTTAAATTAAGCCCTTGGATGACAGGCTCTGCCCAGACAGCTGATGTGCAGACAGGAAAAGCAGACATGSAAATAACAGGTTTATGAAATGACACTGGCTTAACTGGGAGTATCTAGAGCCTCCGATCCACCCTGGAGCACCAAAACCTGTGTTGCCTCTTCCCTTCCTCCCACAAAACCTCCCAATCAACTTCTACAGCAAAACTAGCCCTTGCCCCTTTCTGTCTACCTATCCACCTATTCCTTGCCCCTTTCTACCTATTCCTTGCCCCCTTCTTCAGTCCTTCTCCCTTCTCACAACCTACCTGCTTCTGCACTCGTTCCAGTCCCACCCTCTACTTTYTCTCTCAATTCTTTTCCCATTCCCATGACACTTGCTACCAATGAAATGCAGGCAAGGCAATCATCTTTTCCTCTCCTGCTTCAGCACTCTCCCATGCCTCTTTTGGCCACAGAGAAGACCTCCCCTTGCCCATCAACGTTGTCCCAATCACAACATTGAGTGCATTAGTCCCCCAAGCCCGATCTTCCCCATGGCTCAAAATAAGCATCATATTCTTCATAAGCTTGGAGGAGAGAAGGGAAGAAGACTGACTCTCAAATGAGCACAGGGGAGTRAGAGGAGGAAGAAGGATGGAGTGCTTCTCTCTACCTCCTCTTCCATCCACTAAGACATTCCTGTTCCCCTTCTTCCTCGTAGAGCTCTTATTTCCATGTAAAAGCAYCTCACTTCAATGTAATGAAATAGTTTAAATCACCAGCTCAACTACAACAGTTCACACTTATGCAAAATAACAGTTTGTGCAGCAACTTACATTGAAACAAAATCACAAGTTTATATCAATTTGACAATTTTGTTCAAGCTTGTGTGCCTCAAGGGTTATTGTCCCACAGTCCCACGTCTCAAGATATGCAGTGCAACTGTGCAAACTGCAGTAAACACTGAACAATGTGGCAAGGACAAGCAACCCTATATTGCCAGCTGTAAAAAGGAGTGAAGTAAAAATCAAAGAAAAGAAAAGCTGACAAAGTACTAAACTCAATAGAGATAAGGCTGACAAAGAACCAAATGAAGAGATTTGTGGTGTTTTTTCTGTGGTGCTTGCACCGAGTACATCATGACAGTCCACAAGGGATATCAGTTCTGTGAGCTAAAGGAATATATTCATTCCATTTGACAGTCTGTAAACTGAGGCAGTTAGAAATCAAGATCGCAAGAGTCTCAAAGTACCTAAAATCTAGGTCTTGCTAGTATTAAGYACTTCATATTGTGAGTGTTCAAAGGATACAGCTTTCAGCAGCCTTTGGGACAGATGCACATCACGTGTAGTCCTAAGAGAACCCATAAAATTAGGAACAATGCAAGAGCTGCAACAGGAACATTTTAGCAACCACAGACACACTTATTTCCCCATCTTTTCTACATTTTCAAGTGGGAGAACAAAGTATCCTGCACCCTAGGAGATTTGGGTCGAAGAGCTATGATGGTCACAAGTCACAACTCATCACCCACCTGACAACTGTAGCTATTTATGTACAAATTAGCAGTGCTGGCCTGGCCACTATTAAAAGATTGATGTAAATGGCTTACCTAGCATCACACTCCTTGGCAGAGGATCAACTCCAAAGCAACATTCAGCTGCCTTAACAATGAGATTATGTCTTCCCTTCTTACATTCACAGGAACACAGGAGGGTAAGAGTTCAACAGACAACACTCTCTCCCCTTCAGCATGTACTCTAATTCATCCCCAGAGCAGACTCACTTAATGCACCAAATAAAACAAAATCATCCTAGGGAGATGGGGGAAAGGTATGTAGTACACTTTAAGATTATTGCAAAGCAATGTATAGAYGTATGGATGAAATTAATATTGCATAACCATTTTCCCAATTCTGGCATTTTGTAACTTTTGAGTGCTTAACTTAGCCACTTTAATGTCCTTTCACTCTGACCATCTGTGTCRTGTCTGCCTGCACGTGTATGTATGGCTGCTTCAAGGATCTGGCCTGGAGATGCCAGGCAACACGACTCAATTACCCAGAGGATTTTAAATCACATGCATAAATCTGCAGTGCACGAATCCAGCCTTTGTGCATGTGATACAGAATCCACTACACATGTGGAACATGCTGCCTGGAAGCGGCCTGTTGGGAAACCCTTAGACCCAGACGCAGAGGCATCACCTTGCATGTACATCAGCTTATGGTGTTGCATGGTCATTATGTCTGTATTTTGTGTATACATTTAACAAACGTGTACAGTTATACACATATTTTAAAAGTAAAAAAGATTGGGGGTAAGTGGCCAAACTGATTACCAGTAACTGACTACTCSTATCTCTTATTTCCCCATGGAAACCAATAAAAGGAAGTTCTACTTCCCTCTTCCCCAAGGGATTCATTCACAGCAGTAGCTGGTTTTCTCTTAAGTAAGTGTTGCAAAGCTATTTTTAATATTCTACTCAAATATTACTGTAACGTGTTATAAAGCAAAACAATATGGCAGAAYATTAATACAGGACAGATAGGATGTAAAGCATGACAGAAAGTGGAAGGGACCCCCAGTTAGAAAATTTGGAAATCAGAATGTTGGGTCTACTCCTCAGCTCAAGTCAGTGGCAAGAGATCTATTGGCAGAGGCCTCTCTCTGATGGTCTCCACATCCTACTTAGCTGCTAGAAGAAAGGGTCCTCTGCCTGTGGTAAAGTTCCATCTTCTCAAACATGAAACAAAACATGCTGTACATAAATGCTTGTATTTATTGCAATAAATGTACCACATTAATGTGGCAATGTGCCACACTGCTTGTGGCACACAAAGCTGTTCTGTAAGAACGTGTATCGATTTGACAAACCTGGGGACCCACTTTAAAAGTCTCTTTACTTACTCCATCAAATTCCAAGAAGCCATTAAAACCTCAAGAAAACCCCCAAGAATTCCCCACACATCTCTGCAGATGGTCAACCTGATTCTAGGGCTAGAAGCAAGTTCTGTGTCCAGCAGCACAAACCTATCAACCCTCTCTCACCCTTCTCAGCGTACTAAACATTTTGCTTTTATTCACACAGGATATAAGGTCTCAGAATTCAAAGCTGCGTCCCTTACAGATGTRAAAAGCCTGTTCGACACTTAAGAAATTAATCTAGTCTTTTCTGAGGCCTAATTCAGGTAAATACTACACAGTTGAATAAAAGGTATCCAGAAGTTATTTTTATRAACTGGTAAGCAGCCATCTGTCCACAAACAATCAGAGCCAGCCCCCAAGACAAGGCTCTTTTATGGCCGAACTTGTCTGGCATCATGCCCTTTGTTTGCTGACTGGTGAATTATGGCTCAAGAATTCACCCCATGTTCTTTCTGCCTTCCCCATAGTGCTTRTGCCTATTGTTTTATCTGTTTGACCAATAAGAAGAAATAATAGAAAATGAAACAACTTAAATGCTTGTGCTTTGGTTTATAGTAAATCCTCATTTTCCTTATGAACTATTCTGTTTTAACCTGTTTTGGTCAGCACCCATATCAAGAACTGCCACATTAGCTCACTAAAACTCCTGCCTCAGAACTCTGAGGACATCACAAACCAATGTGCATGTATCAGCCTTCCAAGACTGAAAGTGTCAAAAGCAGTAATTCCTGATTACGTTAGTCAGTGACGAATGTTCTTTTCCTACAACCTCAAAAGGATTTTATCTTCACTGACACATGGTCTAGGCAAGTATTATGAAAAYTTCAGTAGCTGGAGACATCTCACCAATGCTCCTTAATGAAGTTTCTTCTCACTTGTCACTGAATTGTGTGCTAGAATGTTATCTCATATACTAGAAAATTAACATGTTTCACCTCTTGCTCAGAGGTAACTGCACCTAGGATTAGTATGCACAAGTGCAAATGCACAATACATAAAATGTGTTATGCTCATGCAAAGAAATAACATCATCCCCCATAAAAAAAAAAAACCAACCCAAACCACATAAACCAAGATATCCCTTCCCCCAAAAAGAAAAAAAAAAAAAAAACAACCAAACCCAAACAAACAAAAAATATCCCTAAATTTTTGAACAATAGTATCATACTCACACCACTGACCCTATTCTTCGCCTTTGCAGGTTATTGGAAAAGTTGACGTTGGACAGTGACTAAAAACTAATTGCAGAACCCATAAATCCCGTTTGAGAGCTCCTTTATAAATGTGTGTAATTCCTGTGAAAAAATGAGATAAAAACAAGGAAACTCCATCATGCTAACAGTAGTCATTTCTCAAACATCTTCAAGCAGAGTTATAGTTGGAAGTGACCAGGATGAAAGTCACAATGAAAATAGAAAAAATAAGTGTTCAAACGTAATGGCAAACACTGACATCAGTAACAGTTAACCTATGATACTAAATGCTATTGTACCAGCATTTAATTAATTTTACAAACCAGTTTGGCTTCAATATTTAAAAGGTCAGTCTCCAAAATGTACACAAGCAAGAACTGAAAGGCAAGACCCACGGTGGATACACGATACCCAGCATGTGCATAATACAATGCTCTGTGTAACAGAACACAAATGTAAATAGAGCCACGGATCTATGGGAAAGGTTTCTGCCACCAGCCTCGAGAAGAAAATTCATTAGTTTCCACTGACAGTAAGCTCTTGTTCAACACATGCCACAAAAGCCAGTAGCAAACATAGCAACACCGAGACTTTTAAGAACATTCAGGAAGTAATCTCCAAAGTAAGGGGTGGGGGAATAGTTGGGACTGCTACCTTAWGTTATTTGAGAAAAGCCAGGTAGGTTTTCTACAAAAACCGTTCGCTTAATTGTTGACTCAGAAATACATGAATGACTATCTTTGTCTCTCCTGGCTTTCCAAAATGTGGAAAATGCTTCTCTTGTCTCCTGGAGAAGCATAGATTTATCATTTTTAACTAAGAAAATCCAAGACACAAGCATTTTCTTCCAAGTATGTCCTAGACTTTCGTGCTTCATAAATACCTTAATAAAAGTAAGTGAGGGCAAGAAGTTAAACAGTCCTATAAGAAATGTGYGTATTTCYAATCTAAAGGAACAMAAATGTCTCCTCWGGGTTACACTTAGAAGCAAATGTAAGAGACCTTAAGAAAAGGCATCAAAAGACCAACCTGATCACAATATTATCATAAAAGCAGTATTGTCATAAAAGTTTAATATTGGATAAGGCCCAGCACTGATAATTTTGTAACCCGTATTTTTATAAAACAAGATTAGGAAAAGAGTCCTGAAATAATTATCAGTTAGCACASAGAAGTGAAGAGAAATGAAAAAACTTTTTTTTTCCCATTCAGCATCCTAAAGTATTATTTGCATTCTATTTCTAAGGTAAAGGGAGAACACAATGGTCACATATTTACGTAAGTGARGAAGGATGGCTTCATGGTGAAGACATAGGGCKARGAACTAGTGAGTGAGGTTCTGGCAAGTTCTGTGTCCTGCTTGCCTGACTTTGAGCAATGCCACTCAGGAGTCTTGCACAAAAATTTTCGTCTCTACAGAGCAGATATAATAGGCTACATGAAAGCTGCATGTGGAAAACAGTGTAAAGTCCTTAAAGCATTACCCAAGTGTAGTTATTACTAAAAAGGTACCTCATAGCTTGTGGCAAGTCCTACAAAAAAGCAAACACACACTGGATACAATGATACCTCATACCAGGGAGACCATCAGGGACACACTTTCCTCCGTGTCTCTAGAGAGGACGTAATTATAGAATCATAGAAGGTTAAGGGTTGGAAGGAACCTTAAATTAAGATCATCCAGTTCCAACTCCGACTGCCCTGGGAGTGGAAAGAACAACTCCCACTAGATCAGAATACTCAAAAAAGCCTTATCCAACCTGGCTTTGAACACTATGGAGTCTCCACAAAATCCTCTTTTCGAGGCTGGGGGAAAGTGCTTCAGTCCCTTTATCAACTTTGTGACCCTGCTCTCCTTTTGCTCCAACYCCTTCATCCACCATTAAGGAACTATTAGGTTTTTTGCTGACGACAGACCTTCCACTTCGAGAACAATTGGCCTTTTTTTTTTAATTAAAAAATTAATTTAAAAAAGAATTTAACTCAGAATTTGAACGTTGGGATTTCCCACCGGGTTTCCAGGAACCGCCGGCGGTTCCGGCGGCAGAGCCTGCCGGGGATGGGGCAGCAAGGTGCTGGCCAACCCCGGCATCAGCCCTGGGGAGGACGGGCCGCTGCTCCTGGGCAACCGCCGGCCTCTCCGCGGGATTTGGAAGCACACATCCATCCGCACAGAAAGGTTATTCCCGGGCGYGCCCGGCCACCGGCCCGGTTCCCGCGGGGCAGCCCCGGCATGCCAGCGGCGCAGGAGGCGCGACCTCGGGACACCGTGGAAACGCCAAGCAGCCCAACCCGGCAGCCCGTCCCGAGCCGACACCGCCCGCCCGGCAGGCAGGCGGTCTGTCCGGCCGTCTGTCTGTCCGGCCGTCTGTCTGTCCAGCCGTCTGTCTGTCCGGCGGACCCAGACCGCCGCCTCGTCGGCGGGCGCAGCCCACAGACACGAAGTTTTCGTGCCGCCACTTCCCAGCCGAACACAGACACATTAATCCCCGCGCTCTGCCTGCAGCCTCCCGCGGCGCCTGCCTGCCTCCCCACTCCCTGTCAGCAATTCCCAATAAACTTCCCCCTCGCCCATCTCCTCCTCCCTCCCCTGCCGTAGGACTCCCCCTTCCTCTGCGCCGCACCCCCCCTCCTCCATCACCGAGCTCCGCGACGGAGGGCGGACGAGGAGGAGGGGGAAACCAACGCGGGGGGGGGGGGTGGTGTTGGGGAAGATCGAGCGTGGCGAAGGGGGTTCCTCGCCCAGCAGCCAATSGGCGGGAGGGCGCGCGAGGCACGCCGGGAGATGTAGTTCTCCGCCGTTCGCCATTTTGTGGCGAGGGAACTACAACTTTTCCTAYGATCAAAGACAATTCTTGGGCCCTGCGCGGCCAAACGTGACTTCCAGGTGCTGCCAGCGCGGCGGACCCCCGTGCGTGTCGAAGCCCGGGGGACGAGCGGCGGGGGCAGGGACAGAGCGGAAGGAGAGCCCTTGGCAGGCGGGAGCAGAGGCGGCTGCAGCGGGGCGGGGAGGGGGGCAGGGCACGACGACCGAGCGTGCTGCGCGGTGAGGGACCGTCGTCAAACTCCTCGCTCGGGTTGCGRCGCAGAGCTTGCGGCGACCTTGGTGGCCGGGTGGCCGCGCTTAAATGTCWAAAGAAGGGATGTGGGAGCAGGGGTAGGGGGTGGCAGAGGGMAGCGCATGACGCTTGACCCGCATGGAGTGTTTAGCGAGGCCTGTTGCATGCGCTGAGCGCGGCGAGGGGTCGGGCGCTGCGGCTGCTGCCCCGGCTGGGAATTGAGAGGGAGCCCTAGGCGGTGTATGCATGTATGTGTGTGTGCGTGTGTCCGTGTGTGTATATATATACACACACATACATATATATATATATACACACACACACACACACATATACACAGGCGCGCGCGCAGGCACGCACGCAGAAATATATATTAACAGAAAAGAGAGAGAGAGGAAAAAAAAAAGAGTCAGGTCCATTTAAAGTTGCTGGCGGAGAGCTGTTCTCATTGGTTGGGGGGGAGCTGGAGGAGCGGAGACACACACAGTGCGTGCAGCCCTCGCTGCTGCCGCCGGAGCCGCCGCTGCTGCCGCCGGAGCCGCCGCCGCTGCTGGAGTTGTCCCTGCCGCTTTCCCTGCTGCAGCGGCACAAACGTGACTTCCAACGTACCGATTATTTATCTTCTCCTCCCGGCTCCTCTCCTCCTCCAAGATGTAACTACAGCTCTGACACTAAGGACCTGCAGATCGCTTAGGCGGCTTGAGAAAGAGAAAAGGGGATACCAAGGGCGTCGTTTTTTGTGTTTAGGGGGATATTTTCCATTATAATGCTTCACTAAAGTGTTTTTTTTTTTGTTTCCTTCGCATCGTCTTTTTTTTTTTTTTTTTCGTCCCCCATTTCTCGGATTTATTTCTAGGAGAATCACATTGTGAGGAAAGAAACTCGGATTACAAGATACCACTACAAACAACCCCCTCTCCCCTGGATTTTTTCAGTATTTTTTAAATTTTTTTTTTAATTGTCGCGGCTATAATTCATGAAGCAATTGTCCCCTTTTGCAATCAGAATTTGGATACCAGAATGAGCAAAGAAAGACCCAAGAGGAATATAATTCAAAAGAAATACGTAAGTGGTCATAACATATCGTTTGACTCCTAGTTTTAGGAAATGGCAGTGAATGTCAAGTTTATAGCTAATCTTGCAGTTCTAAGGCTTTGGGAACAAATGTGATACTGAATTTGATTTTTCTATGGTGTGGTGGGGGAGTTTSAGAGGCCCTTTTTARCGGGGAAGCCTTCTATCCAGTTCGGTTATAAAACCAGATTTGTGTAGCGATTCCTCCAGTGAATAAATGTATTGACCTCATATGACACAATCATAATCTAGTTTTAGATGAAACGCGGGGAGCTCGGGGGGCTGCCGCGATTAATGTCACCGAACTGCATTTTTAGGCCGTTTTCTTAATTYTGTGCTTTTGCATGGTAAAAGAGGGATTTAGTTTGTTTTTTGATTTAGTGTTGGCTTTGGGTTTTGTTGTTTTTTTTTAATTTTTTTTTTTATTTTTTAATTATACACGTATGTCTATCCCTGTCTGGTGAAGCGGCGGCGGTGGTTGTTGGAAGCCCTTTAAGTTGCAACCGAGTGTCTGGTTATGGCGAGCTGGTTTCTCGCAGTACCACATCCCATCTCCTGTGTGTAATCCCCGGCTGCTCTGCCTTGCGATAGACACCGGAGCAGCCGGGGATCGCTTTACGGGCAGCGCGTTCCTCGGGATTGACTGGAATAATGAGGAAAATGGTTCGGTGGTGTTTTAAAAATAATTCATTATGATGGCTCGAAAATTTGGGCTAATCCAGCGCAGCCAGGGCTGTATTTCTGCCTCGCTTTATTCAGCCGCTTAACCAATCCCTTGTAATTGTCTAATCCTTTAAACATATAAATGTGGATGGGTAGTTGGATTTTTCTTCGTGCTCCAGTTACGTTTTGATTGGCACAGTGCAGTTTTTCTTTACGTTTGGAAAAGCGGAGGGGATTATCCACATATGCAGTAGAGCGGATAATGATTTTTATCTCCATGTAAAAAAAAAAAAAAAAGAATTTTTGGGGGCGGGTATGGGGGGAGATATATAGAAATGCTCGCTTTTGGGCGTGTTTGGTGCCAGGGTTTAAAAGTTCTAGTTTATATCGCCTCTTGTCGTCTGCGCCGATTTCTTTCAGCGGAGGGGTGTTCCTTGGCAGGGAGGGTGACCTTCGGGACACTTTGCCTCGGTATTCTATAGATTTGGTAAAAACTGCAGTTGACTCCAGCTGACTGCCGCTATCGATTGCCCGCCCCGCTGAAACGCTGCCCGGGGGAGGTGGTGGAACGATGTGTATGTGGTTTTGGGGATGGAGGGATGGGGGGGCCTGCGCGCTGTTTCGGTGCTGATCCCCCCTCCCCTCCTTTCCACCCCCCTAAATTTCCAAATTAAAATACATCCGCATTGCAGAGGAGAAGGGAGCCCGGGGCCGGCGAGTTTAAAGTATGGCATCGAAACGGGAACGGCGGGTGGAAAGTCTGGCGAAACACGCGAGGCGTCCACGTTTCCCAGGCAGGCAGACAAAAGCGGGGCGGGGGGGAAGGAAACCGCGGTGTTAATAATTAAAGGGGGAGGGAGAGGAAAAGGGGGAGATCACCCCGAAGGTCGGCTCCCCCTGGGCTCGCCAGGGCGAACAATGCGGCGCCGCTCCTTCACCGCCGGGCAGGGGCCGAGAGTGGCTCCCGGGGGAAGAAGGCAAGAAGGACGAGGGCGGACAATGTGCCGTGGTACTCCCCCGCTCACAACTTCGCGGCGGCGTTTTTATTTAACCCTTCTGCTTCCCCTCCTCTTTTCCCCCCACCCCCTCGCCGTTTTCGTGTTTGGCAGGGGGCGGCGGTGCCGGCGGGGCGCGCTGGCGGCGGCAGCAGCAGCAACAGGTTGCCGGGGCTGTGACGGAGCCCGCGGGCCGCCGGCCACGCCGCCGCCCGGCCAGGTTCGTCCCGCTCCCCGTGACGTCACAAAGGGACGGGCCTGCGCGTCGTGGAATCTTCGGCGCCCCCCCAGCACTTGCCCCCCCCGCCCCTGTGTGACGTCACAGCCGAGGCGGGGCGGGGGCGGGAGGAGCCCCCGGGGCAGCGCTCGGCGGCGCCGCGGGGGAGGGAGGCAGGGGCAGGGGCAAGGGAGGGGGCGGCCCGGGCCAGGTGAGCAGGTGCGGGGCCGCCCTGCCGCCTGTGGGCGTGGAGGTGGCGGGTGGCGAGAGAGCGCTGGTCACGTCGCCCCGTGGCGACACGCGTGGTGGCACGTCTCCTGCCCGTGACCTTCGGGCGCTACGGCAGCCCGGCGGAGCGCGGCGCCGTCTCCTCCTTCCTCGCCGCTGCCAGCACAAGCTTCGCCTGTACCCGGAACAATGGTCCCGGTGTCGGGCCTTTTAATGGTCTTGGTGTCGGTGTCCCTGGTGCCCCCAGCCCGGAGGTGATGYTCCACCAGCAGGAGCGAGGGCACAGCCGCCTACGTGTCCCCCCCATGGGCACCAAGCGGTGCTTCGTGGCCCCGCTSCTCTTAATGCCACTGCAGGTTGTCACAGAATCAGAATGGTTTGGGTTGAGAGAGGACCTTGAAGATCATCTTGTTCCAACCTCCCTGCTGTGGGCAGGAATACCTTCCACCAAACCAGGTTGCTTTAGAGCCCCCTCCAGCCTGGGCTTAACCTGGCCTTGTATCAGGAGTGKGGGCTGTCAAGGCTGCTGCTGCTGTTTTTGCTTTTCAGCATTTGCGAAATGAATTCTGAAAACAAGAAGGTGGTGAGAACAATGGAGCAAAGCCTCCGTGTTGTGGGCTGCAGTCGTGGGGCTTGGCTCCCCGCTCCCTAAGTGCTGACAATTCAAAGTTCTCTTAAACTTCAGGAGCGTTATCTTTTGCGATTGGTAACCCAGGAATGAGGAAATCCGTGAGTGCATCGTTTTTTCCTGCAGTTTAAAAACGCTATCACTTAGTTTTTAAGAGAACCATGGCTGACTCATACAACTCTTTCTTCTCTCTTTACCCTCCTCCTTCTCAAACATCTTTACATATCAAATACTGCCTTTTGGCTCCAGCCTCACAAAACTGACAGCTTTGTAAAGCATCCGCCGAGAAGCCAGACTGYGTTCAGTATGCGCTTGGAATTAATAGTTCTTGAGTCAAAAGCTTTGAAGCCTTGAACGTAATTTCACAGGTGCATTTTTCTGACCGTTTTTGAGGTGCCGAATACCAAATTTTCTGATCTTGCTGGCCTAGGTCTCCGAGTATCAGACCTGGATTACCTCCATAAAATACCTGCACGGTTTTGCCACGGTAGCAGATGGTGAAGTATAATTAAGGAGTAATGTCACTACTGTGGCCTCATGTGATTTGTTTCCGTGTCCTTGCAGAAGTAAAAGTGCTGTAGTCTGCCATGAGGTGACACGCTTCACCTACTGATGGCCTGGTAAACCACTCAGACAGAGGGCCAGCAAGGCCCGGGCAAGATTAGCATGCTGCAGACATGTGAGAGCCCCTGTGCCTTCTGCAGCCTTTGAAACAATCCTCTAGATTTGGGTGTGCTTGTYTCAGGGAGCTTTTGGTGGGGGTGGTGACTGTGCAGCACCACCACCTTCTTCTGCCTTGGAGTTGATTGTGCAGGAGCCCAATCCTGGGCACTCCAGSGCTTCAGTTGGACCGGCTTGCACTGTTTTTTTTCTTGTGAGAGTTTGTTCATATCTCTCCCCCAGCCCTGGAACTGAAGACAGGCTTAAAGTTTGAYACTTCCCTATAAGAAATACTCTAAATAGGCTGCTGGCAGCAGAGGTAGCGTATGTTGCATCTTATTTCACATCACCTTTTGAGGTTTCTTCAGTTGTATGTCTTTCACTCTTACAGAAGCAATTCCAGCAGCATAGCACACTCAAGTCTCACTTTCTTTTCCCTGTATGTAAAACTTAAGGGTGCTAGCTGCACTGAGAGCTGTTTGGGTTCCTCTTAAATTACTCCTGATCTCTTGATATGACAGCATTATGCTGTAAGTGGCTATAGGATAGTACATAAATATAAACTAGTAATTTAAAGATCTTTTTTTCTTTAAATGAATATTTTGCTGTAAATAGATGCTTTGCCCTGACATACTAATGGACTCCTCCTCACTCTTRATCGTGTGCAAGTCAGGAGTCTGTGTAAGATGCTGCCCAGAGTGAATTAGAGTGAATCAAGGCCCCTGTGAAGAGTTTCTAATGTTCATTAAGCACTTTCACCTTCTCTTGTGAGACCTACTAAGCCAACATTAAAAACATATTACCCCTTCATTTTCTGTAGAAGTAAAGTAATAGCTAATGTTGTGCATATGCTAAAGTGTGGTACAACCGTCAGCTGATTCTGTAAGGCAGTAGTATTCCCTCCATTTTATTGTTTGATGAAAAAGAAGTCTAAATTACTTGCCTGAAGCTACATGTTGTAACAGCGTCAGAGTTGGAACTCTGTATTTCTGCTGCCTTCTCCAGTATTCTGTCCTGTAGCTTACAGGCTCTTGCTACAAGGCATGGCATCTGCATTATATGGGACTACTTTATGCAGTTCCAACTTTCTTCAAAATTTCCCCCCTCCCCAGTTATGGTCTGGACTGTTGGATTAACATTATATTTTTAACATAAAGCATTTCAGTATGGATTTTTTTTTTTTTTTGAAAGAGATTATCATACCCTGCAGCTGATAGAGACCAGTTGATACTGTGATGACTCAGCTGTGGGAGTATTACATAAAGTAGGTCAATTTTTAAATATCGTAGTCTGAAGCTAAAGAGAATCCACGTTTAAAATTTTTATTTTGTTTATACACATTACTGTTATTTCTTGGTTTGAATGTAAGTGAAAGTCCTTCAGGAGGCGGGAAATGTTTTTGGGGGTTGATTTGGGGTTTGGTTTTGCCTATTTTTGTTGTTTAGTGACTGAATTCAATCAACTTGATGGAGGGGAAAAGACCAGCTGCTTTCATTTCTAAAGTTTTCAGTTTGCAGCAGTCAAGTGAAAGGAAGGCTTTAAAGGCAATTTTAAAATAGGGAAAGGAAAAGCAGAGACATGTTTATTATTTTTTATTACA